GTGCAGATGAAGGCTTTAGAGATAGGGAAAATACTAGACGTGCTGATGTAAGTAGAAGCAAAGAATTAAACCCTAAGTAAGAAGCTAAGAGAGTTCCAATACAAGATTTTTAAACAAATTACAATACTAACAAGCAGCACTGTAAAAACAGGATCTTTGGTATAAGAAATTATTAGCACTAAAATAAAGGTGCATAGTACGTTCTGGGGCCCCTGAGCCAATTAAGTTCGGACATGAGTTATACTTCCTTTTGAAGGAATGTATTATACTGCTTTAATATCTACCCCAAAAATGAGATTAAAAGATTCTAGTCTTTAAAAGAGATACCAATTTAAAAATCATGTTGTTCTCTGAAAAAAAAAAAAGTAGTTATTACAAATATTATTGATTACCGTATTTGAGAAATATTTGGAAAACAGTTCCTAGTTTTCTTCTTCAGGATTTTTTACTTTATGGATTTGAATAGCATTTAAACTTATATAAGGTGAGTGTGCACTCAGTTTCATTGTTTTCCCTGTACTGCCAAGTGATTTTCGATCCTTCTTTCTTCAGTACTTTCACACATCAACAGAAGAAGAAAAGATCACAGAAATAATAGACAATAGTTTGTAAAATCTTAAAAATTGACAGAGATACTCAGAAGAAGCTATCCTCTGAAGAAATTACTTAACCTTTTTTTCTTAATATATCGGACGTTGAAATATCATAAGCCATTCTTTCTGCACTGTGGTGCATTCTGAAAGAGGCATAGTTAAATCCTGTGCAGCTGGTAAGGCATGTGCCAAAGTTTAGACTGGTCTTTAGCATGCAGATGAGTGATACTATCCCAAGTATGCATTCTGTCTTTTAACCTGATGTGCTGCTTCTGAAAATGTGATGCTATCATGTAAAACAGAATACCTTCTATCAACAAGCACTGTTTTGTCCTCTGCTTATATTATGCTAATTTTAATTAGCAGTCTGCATATTAAAAAAGGCATTGCTTTCTGACCTGTGCATGTTGAATAGTTGGGAAATAATTTGTTTGTTCTTAGTACTGCTTGGCACCACTTTCATGCTTTTCAATTGTATAACATTACAAAGTACATCTTCTTTCATTTTCTGCTGTTCTGACATCATGAAATTCTAGTCAGTACGCCATTCTGCAGTGTCCTTGTTGCTAAGAGCCTTGACTAGCACAATGCAAAAGGGAGTATGTGCATGTGAAGAAGAGAATCTTGTATTATTTCAAGCTTCCCTCTGCTGTTTTTGGTGTGCTCTGTCTCACAGATTTGGGAACTGAGAACTGGTATTAATCGTAGAGCGCTTTGTCTTAAGCCTTTGGGAATTGGGTGCTTTCTAGACCTTCAGTCTGCTCATCCCAAAGATGCACCCAGTTGCAGCATTGTTTACTAAAGAGCAAATGACACATTTAGCAAAGCTGCATTGCTGCCTCCCTTATAGTGCTTTGTGTGGACACATCAGAGGAAAGAAAATACATGGAGGAATCTGAGGTGGACAATGAAGGAAGCCGGGGAGGATGACTGTGAGGAGGAAGAAAATAATGCGGCAGAAAAGGAAAAAGTACTAAGAAGCTAGAGGATAAAGCAGGAAAAGAGAAAACAGAATGACCTGGGGGTGGTAGAGGGGAAGAGATGGCATTTTTGATAATTCTGTGGATCATATTCAGCACATCTGCTTTAGTGCAGTTTGATGTTTTGTCATAAGGCTGACATGGTGCATCGGTATAGCAGTTTGTAATGCAGTATGAAGAACTCACAGTGTGCTATTTTACAGGTCCTCAATAGCTTCCGGATGGTTATAATCAGGACAATAATACCAATAGGGTAATGCCACAGGTGAAGTATAACTAGATGAAAAAGACAGCGCGTGGTGAGAGATAAATGGAGAAGAGAAGACAGGAAAACTGGAAGAAAACTGAAGAAGGGAGGCTGAAAGGAAAAGGTTAGTGCCCAGACAGCTTTCCAGAATCAAGCCTTCGTTCAATTTCTGGGAGTAAGTACTACTGTCAGAAACGCTATTCCAAATAGGGAGGTGACAGGAGCCAGGAAAGCTAAACAAACTGATGTAAGGTGAAAAGGGGCAGGTGTGTGTGGAAGTAAACTGGAATAAGGGAAAATGAAGGCGTTGTTTAGTACACTGCTACATAAACATTTATTGGGGTATGATATAGTAACCTATGCTGAAAAAGTAAAATTCACATTCAGTAGCAATCAATCTGAGTAGATATAACCAATATGCATCAACACACAAAATGTCTGCTATTTGGAAAGGGAAGATTACACTTTTTTTTCAGGGGGACATACAGCTCTGCAACTATTAATTGGGTGCATGCAAAGTATTTAAAAAACCATGCAGATAGAGCCAGTTTTTTTCTAGGAGAATTTGGAGAAATTTATTTTTTAACCGGAATCTTTTTTATCCCTTTCCTCTTCCTTTTACCATTCCTTTGATACTTTTTTTAGCTTTTTTGGCCAACATGAAGTTCAAATCCTTTCTTTTCAGTCTCTTCTATCTTGTGCTGTCTGAATTAAATGCCGTAATATTAGCTGCCTACAGTTACTGTCATTGGTCTTCATGGGTGGCCTGAGCAATTTTCGGAGAATGGAGCTCACACTAGTGTAACTCTTGGCTTTGATGGAGTTGCTCATGATTCACAATACTGTGAAAGGAGAATTTTCCTTGCTCTTTTATGTATTCTTTCATCTCTGTGATGTTTCTGCTTACATGTATAATTGATTTTCTGGGAATTATTTCCTTCTGCTGACGGGTAGACCTGGGAACTTCCTAAGATGGAAACAAGTTTAAGCGCTTTTTAGGTCACTGAGTTCAGTCCACTGCTGTCACAACATGATGTTATATAATTTCTTTCATAAACTGATCAGGCCGTGCTTTAAACATTTATTAAGATTCTATTGCTACTACAACTGGTAAATTCAGACAGAAAGTTTAGTTATGTCCTGTTTAAATTCAGACCAAACCGACAGCTGAAATAATTTTCAAATGCTCCAAAAGTATTGTGTTTTCTTACATATGCCTCACTTCTCAGTATAACAGCCTTGATAAAGGCTTCATTCGTGAGAGAGATTGGCTCAGCTCAGAGAAAGCCTGGTTCCAAAATAACAGGCATACTTAGAAAATGAGTGCTGCGAGGGTACCATGCAGTTTTCTATTCATGGTCACATCTCTCTCACAGATTTCAGTGGGCGTTACAAGCAGTCATCAGACACCAAATTTGATTTTTCGTACCTGAAGTACCGCACTGAAAGTCAGTTATCTAGGGAGACAGATATGGAACAGGTGTATACAACTCAGCTGAGGATGGATTACTGCAGATTTCAACTTAGAAATGTTCGGCTATCTTCTGTTTACCACCCTAGCGTAGCAGACTCCTTCCTTTTACAGTCAGATTTGTCCCTTGCTTACAAAAGACCTGAGCCTAATAGGCATGAAGCTGAAAATATATCCAAGAAGTGGATTCCTTGTAATTAAAGCACAGATGAATGGCAGAGCCTATTTTTTTCTCTTACAGTAGTGTGAAATAGAGGTGATTTGGCTGAAGCCAACACAACCGTGCTCTTATCTGCAAATGCTACTGTGATACCTCCATGTCCTGCATATCTGCCCCTCCATAAACATGGAATATAACCCTTATTCTTCGCACTGTGTTCTCAAATCTCTGCTGTACACCTGACCATAGCAACCCCACTGCCCTTACTTATCCTCAGAATCCTCCTGGAGAACGTTTCTAGTTGGAAAAGAGGACAAATCGGACAACCTGGACGGATGATAGCCATATCTAACCATGTCTGCAGACCCTCTTTTACTGCAACACCTTCCTATCACAATGGTGATGTTCATATGTGTGAAAGGCCTAGTGGCTAAAATTTTGTTGGAAGGGGAAACACTATGTATGTGTGTGTGTCTCCGAATTGTTCTTCCCCCAACACAAACACCTTTTCCAGCCCTGTGAATTAAGTAGAATTTAGGGTATAATATTTCTGCACAGTTTACTGTAGTATATATTCGGTGATAGTAGCAGCTTGCAAAGACAAAATTAGCAGGCTCTGCGGCCCATTATGGCAGTTACTATATCGGTAGGAAATTATCTAACGGAAGGCAAGTTGGAGACTTTGGCCACTTGGCTTGGCACCTGCTCATGGGCACATCCTCCGAGTTTTGCGTGGTGCCACACTGCCATCACCGATGGCTGCAGAGAACAGTTTAAGAACTGTTTTTGACTTGTTTGTGATATTCCAGCGGTTGCGTTTTTGAACGACGTTAAAAAGACGGTGTGAGGATGGTTATGGATTATTTATTCTCCGTAGTACGTGGCGTTGTTCCGTGACTGCTCGGCCGGCCGGTGCTTCAGGCGCGATGCC